GCTTTGAAGTCAATATCCTTTTCCAAGGGATTGAGTCCCGGATCATATTATGTCTTCTATACTCAGATCTCCTTAAGATGTGATTCAGTTCACTGTCTGTTATCCAAGAGTGGGTACTTGGACTCGATGTGATCACTGAAAACCATAGAAAACACCATAATATCGCCACAACACCTAAAAATAAAAATAGTTTATTACAAAATGAATTAAACTAATTTTTAAAAACTAAAATACATTTAATATAAACATTGGTTTGAAATTATTGTTAACATATTTAACTGTCATTTACCAGATATGTAGAAAACTGAAGGCCAACCGCCCATCACTTTGTTCTCAATGAGATGTCCGGCGCCGGCAGAGCAGACAATTGTGCCGACAGTGCAGCCGACATCCAACCAGGGTATGAAAGTGCTGTGCTCTTCAGGTGGGATCCATTTGGACATCAATACCATGAATGATGGGAATAGTATGCCCTGAACTAATCCCAACACAACTCTGGATGCAATGAATAAATAGAAATGCCAGTGAATTATGAATGGCGTCAACAGATTGATGAATCCCGATATGAATATTGAGGTTCCGATCATATATTTGGCGCCATATAGTTCTGACAGTCGGCCACCTATTATTTGCGGCCAAACATACCCTTAAAAGAAAATAATCAATTAAATTTAATTACCACATAATTTTAATTAAATGTAAAATTTTATAAACTTATTATTGAGTTATTAATAGATTCATTGCTATATTATTTGTTATTAAAAAGTACGGTAAAAGAAACCTTAATAGATTTGATCTAAAGTTTTGAAACAAAAGTTAATTCAAACATGTATTTGAAATTAAATACTAGAGAATATGATAGAATATAGAATTGAGTATACCATAATAGAAAGCACCAAGTACAATTCCCTGGGTGGGTGGAGACCAGTCAAACACTCCTACAATTNACTAGAGAATATGATAGAATATAGAATTGAGTATACCATAATAGAAAGCACCAAGTACAATTCCCTGGGTGGGTGGAGACCAGTCAAACACTCCTACAATTGAGACTTTGCCATCACTGACAACATCAGCCGGACATTCATCAGAATGAAGTGATGATATATTTTTGAGAGGATCATTGGCACTGTTTTGCGGTACACTAATCACCATATCGACGATGGCCACATTGATATTGACCCTGGTCATATACATGACAGCACAACCAAGTAGTGACACAAACGACACGAAAAACCTGAGCGACAAAAACTTTTGTGATTTGTGCACCGATTCTATGTATTCATGTTTTGGTAGTAATTTGTCCGCCGAATCTGAATCCATTTTAATTAATTATAATTAATTATAATTTATTATTTAATTTGTTGGCACTTAATTGAATTAATTGCAAATATTTTCAGCTCATTTTCATTTTAATCAATGCAATTCCACATAAATACACAAATATCACTACTATTTATGTAACTTAGATTTAGATAACACAGTGTTTGGATATACAGTAAATTTATGACTTCAATCCCCAGTAACCACTACTTCTAAACACTGTAATCAATGAAACGGCAAAAAATAAATGGCAAATACTGTGTAGTAATCGTTATTAGCGGAAACTCTATGCTCCCAATTCAATGTCATTTATAGTGTGTTCAGCTGTCTATGAATTTCTCAAATGTGTTTTACTCTATTTAACATACATTTTGCTCGGAAAGGTTTATAATGTAATGGTAACTCAATATAATGAAAGGTTATATAACAAAACCAGATTCCAGATTAATTGGGTTTTTTGTAACAATAAAAGTATAAACTCATGTATTAATACAAATACCGTAATAAGTTTTATTGATTCAATAAAAATACAAATAATGAATGATTTAATACAAATGAATGTCTTAAAAGTTGAATATATTTGAGAATAAAAAATTAAAGTTTAACATTAAAATACAATAATTTGAAAACACACTGAAATAGCAGATTATAATTATATGATAATACCATGGTTAAGTAATATCTATTTAACACAATCTTTTGATGATAAATAATGAAAAATTTGATTTACATTTCAATCACTGAAACTCATTAATCAAATGAAGAGCACTCTTCCACTCCTCGACCGCTCCTGCGATGAGCCGTCACTTTGGGATCCATTCATCTGTTCATTCAATTCATTGACAATCAAACCATTGTTTTCTTCAGTCGATGATTGGCTGCTTTCACATGAAACCTCTTCACCACTAGTGGTCCACTCATTGGATCCATTGGTCAGCCATCGGACCCTCTTTTCAGACCTCCTCTTCTGTGGTCTTCAATCAGATAATAAGACAATCATTAAAACCATTCAATCATTAGTCATAAACTCAAGAAACAAACCGATTTGTGACCAAAATCTGTGGATTAGTCACCGACTCCTGTGAATCCATCTGCACTTCAATGGAGTGCATGTCTTGGGATCTAATAGAGTGACAAATGACTTAAATTATGGACTAATTGGGTGTCAAATAAATGCAAAGACAAACCATTGATGGCTTTATTTGAGTGACCAGTGATTGGTTTGCGACGAATGACTGTCACCTCATCTCTTCCAATGATACCGACGGGAAGGTAGTCGTCGACCACAATGTCATCGATCATCAGATCCCAGTTATAATCGATGGCAAACTTGTTTTGGATGCGAGTCTTGAGACCTTTGATGTGACCGTCTTTGGACTCAATGGCGAAGAACTTCGTGGGCTTCGGGTGACAGTCACTGTCCGTCGCATCCAAAGCCATCTTAAAGCGCTTTACCGGCGATGAAGTGGAAGACATTGTTGACAAGCAATGGATAATTACCACAAGATTTAAGACAAACACTGTTTTGCTTTCAATTCACTAATGAAACGACTATTGAGTGAAAAGTTTAGAAATTTGTGTTACGATTACAGTAACAATCATATTATTGGTATATTTATTTGGCATATGTATGGCCTCTACCACTGCACGTATGGTTGTCTGTCAAGTGCCCGGTGCCGTGATGTGGTCGCACCCCGGGGTATGTATTGATGGTGTTTGTCGGTATGAAGTCATGAGGATATTTATTATGAACCATATTAAGGATACTGTACTTTTAAAACGGCTTCAACATAATGATTATATTTACAGAATTCATGTTTAAAGTCAATCTAATTCAGTGGTAAATACTGTATTGAATTTGTCGAATCATATCATCAAATCATTTTAATAAAAACTTTCATTTTCAATCATTAGATTGATACAATAATGTTAAGTATGTTCAATAACTATTAAATGTAACATTTATATTACAGTAATAACGGATTAATAATAAGTCAAAATGATAATTAATCATAGTTTGAGCAACAATTAGTTTGAAGTCATTTATAAAACTTTATATTTTATAAGGGAAACATTAAACAAAAAGTTATACACAAAGTTGTATAAATGACTTCAAACTAATTGTTGTCAATTGTTTGAATATATTTCGTTATAAACCAGTAACCGATTTATGAAATTATTGCCAAAGTATTAAGATTTATAACTTCTTTTAATACAAACTCACTGTAAATATTCAATTGTATTACTATTTATTAAAGTCAATCATACAATAAGTTGTGCACAAAAAACATGAAATTTACTCTTATTTTGACTTTAATATCATTGAATCTGGTTCTGATGTCAACTACACAACAAACTAATAGTAATTACTGATTGATAAGCTAATTAACATTGATTTGTGTATAAAACATGATAAGAATATGATTTGATTACCTGTAGTGGAAACAAATAAGTTATTCATTGGTGAGAAATCACAAAGAAATGTTTTCCACAAACTTAAAGCAAAGTCTAAATTGTTTACACAAAACCTCAAAGAATCGGAAAAAGTTGATCAGAAAATCGACTCATTATTTGATTTCAGAAAATTGGATTCAATTGTAGATAAAAATGAGAGACATGTTGAATACAATTGGATGAAAGAATTAAAGAGAACTTTAAAAGAAAATATTAATTAAGAATCTCTTAATTAATTACAAATTCTGTAGATTTATTATAATTTATAAACCAAATTTTTAATAATAATTTTACCGTAGCATCTGTATCCATAAAATAAGATGACAAAATAAAACTTTATAAATTCAATTGTAATTTTATTTAATTAAGTATCCAACAATATTCTCTAAGACATAGAAAATAGCCATTTTCTGAGTTCGCGACAATTTATGTTCAGTTTGATTGACTAAATAAACAATTACTTCGCGAACCACTTCCCAAACACTGATCGTACAGCCATTGTACTGATGGCCGCAATCATGCCCTCTTTGTTTGCCATAAACGGCTGCCAAACGATATCTTGACATAACATTTGAT